GGACGCCAACGCGCGCTCTGCGCATGTGTGTGCGCGCTGACGTTTTGTGCGTGTCGGCCATGGCTGCTCCACCACCTGCAGGTTTCCGTGAATACCGGAGTGTTCCGTCTGGGTTTGTGATCCTGCGTCCTAATATCTGTTTCCTCCCGTGCTTTCCCTTGTGTCACTCCTCTGTACTGCGCGCTGAGTCGCCGCGATTTGGCCGACTCCCCACCCCCACCCCGGGTAGCGTCGTGTAGAAGGGAGAGCGTGCTGCGCCTGGCGGCACGACGGAGACCTTCCTCTGGTCCAGGGCCAGGCAGAGCCCGCGGACCCCTGCGTGACTATGCTTTCAGACAGCCGCTCAGCAGGAGCGCTCCACTTTTAAGTTTTTATTTTTGTTTACATTTTTATTGTGGTAAAATATGTAACGAAGATCATTTGCTAACAAAGCCGCGCGTGGTGGCACACGCCTGTAATCCAGCACTGGGGAGGCTGAGGCAGGAGGATCACTGTGAATTCGATACCAGCCTGGGCTACATAGTGAGTTCCAGGTCAGTCTCAACTACATAGTGAGATCCTTTCTCAAAAAAAAAAAAAAAAAAAAAAAAAAAATCTTTGCATGGCTGGACTTAAGCCAGACTCCTAGCCTGCTGGCAAACGTGCCTTTGTATAAACAAAATTTGGATATTACATGTCTTATAAGAAGTCTAGCCCCTACTGCAAGGCCATATTGCAGTGGCTCTATGCAATAGTTCTGAATAGTCAGTTGTCTTTACCATGCTTTAACAAATATAACCTAAATTTTTTATCACTTAACCATTTTGAGTTTGTAAGTTCAGTGGCATTCAGTACAATGGTGATCACCATTGTCCATCTCCAGATAATTTTTTTTTAAAAAAAAGTTTTGTTGAGATATACAGTAAGTTACTTTCCTGTCGTTACAACACAATACCTGACACCCTCAGATTAAAGGAGGACATGTTTATTTTGACTCCCTTTTTATTTTATTTTTTTAAGATTCAGTCTATATGTCTGACTTCAGAGGAGGAAGGGCATGGAAGAGGTGGAAATGTCTGAGGCTCTGAGAAGAGAAGCTGCTCATCTTGCGGATCTGGAAGCAGAAAGAAAAGAGGAACCAGGGAGGGAGGTACATGCCTCCAGATTATGCTCCCAGCAGCTTGCCTTTTGCCACCAGACCCCAACTCCTAACAGCATTTTTCAGCTCTGAGCTCTTCAATTTATTAATCCACTGAGGAGTACAGCACCGCCTATATGCAGTCACTTTCTGCAAGCGCACCCTCAGAACACACGTGCCTTTGTGGGACATTTTATATGTAAACCATAACAAGATACAGTCCACATACTATAAAATTCACCCATTTAAGAAGAGGTGATTTTTCAGAGAGCCATGGAAACAATGCTACAAATTAATTTTAGAAGACTTTTTATCGCTCCTGAAAGAAATCCTGAACTCAGCAATAATTTCCCATTTCTCTCCCATCCCTTCTGCCTTGGTAACCACTCATTTATATTCTTCCTCTATAGATTGGCTTATTCTTGACATTTCATATTCTTAGAAACATTGGTACAATTATTTTGAAAGTTCTTGCATTTAGCATGATGTTCTCAAGCTTTATGGAAGATCTCAGTACTTCCTTTTTACTGACCATAGTCCAAGATAAAGATACACTACATTTTAGTTATCCATCATTTGGTTGACATATAGGTTATTTTCACTTTTTTGCCATGATGAACAATGCTGTTATAAATGTTCGTGTACAAGTTTTTGTGTGGACTTCACATCTTTCTTGGTTACAAACTTAGTAGTGGAATGACTAAGTCATATGATAATTATGTGTACCTTTTTGTTTTGTTTCTATTTTGAGACAGGATCTCACTATGTAGTTGAGGCTAACCTGGAACTCACTATGTAGTCCAGGCTGGTCCTGAACTCACAATGATCCTCCTGCCTCAGCCTCCCAAGTGCTGGGATTACAGTCATGTGCCACTATGCCTGGCCTTATGTGTAACATTTTGAGAAATTGTCGAGCTGTTTTCCAAAACAGTTGCACTATTTTACATTCTTACAGCAACATAGGAGGGTTTCGATTTCTCTATATCCTCATTCAGACTTGTTATTTGTGTACTTTTTATTGGCCATCCTGATAGGTGTGAAATTTTGACTTCTTGTAGTTTCTCTAATGGTTAATGATGTAAAACATTTTTTTCATGAGATTACTGGCCATTTGGAGAAATGTTTTACTCATTTTTAAAATTAGGTTGTCTGTTATTGTATTAGAATTCTTTGTATGTTCTGCACAAAATCCCTTATTTTGAAAGTATCTTTTCCTATTCTGGTGGTCTTTTCACTTTTTAGTGGAATAATTTGCAACACAAAAGTATTAAATTTTTGCTGGGGATTTAGCTCAGTGGTTCAGCCTCCTGCCTCAAAAGTGCAAGGACCCAAGTTTGATCCCTGGTACAAAAATATATATATATATTTTTTTTTTCACACACACACACATATATGACATTTTTATTGAGTCTGGTTTACCCTTTTTGTTTCTTATGATTTTGGTATAATATTTTTTAAAACTTGAGTAATACAAGATCGTGAATATTTGCCCTTATTTTCTTATAAAAGCTTATAATGTTAATTCTTCATTTAAGTCTGTAATTTGAGTTAATTTTTGCGTATAGAAGAAGGTGGGTGTCTACCTTTGTTCTTCTGCATGTTGATATTCAAACACCATTCATTGAACAAATTATCCTTTCCCCATTATATAGTCTTAATACCCTAATTGAAAATGAGTGAGTTAATAAGAATTTATTTCTGTTCTCAGTTCTACTACATTGATCTATGTCTAACTCTTAGTCAGTTCCTGTCTTGATTTAGTGAAATTCTGTGGTTTAAGTCATGCAATCAGGAAGTATGTTCCCTTCTACTTATTCTTTTTCGAGACTGACTTCTTATCCTGGGTCCCTTGCATTTCCATATGAACTTCTGGACCAGCTTGTCAATTTATGAGAAAGAAAAAAAACAACTGGAATTTTGTTAGGGATTGTGTTGAATTTGTGTACTGGTTTATGTTGTATTGCCATCTTTGAGTGTGTGTGCGCGCGCGAATGTGTGTGTGTTTGTGTGGATGGTATGTTACTGGGAATGAATCCACAGCCTTTGCATTGAGCTGTATCCACAGCCCTTTTTTATTTTTTGAGACAAGTTTCCCAGACAGGACTTAAATCTCCTATCCTTGTGCCTCAGCCTCCCAGAGTACTGAGATTATGGGCATGTGCCGCCACAGTGGCCTGTATTTCCATTTTTGCAACACTTCTCTCAATCCATGAAAATGAATTTTCTTTCCATTTACTTACGTCCTCTTTAATTTTTACAATGCTTTATGGTTTCATTGTTAATCTCATATTTTTTGTTAAATATATTTGCACGTATTTTATTTAATGCTATTTAAATGGCATTTAAAATTTTTCATTTTCAGATTATTCATAACTAGTGTGTAAAATAGAATTGTTTGTTTGTTTGGCTTTTTGAGACAGAGTCTCACAATACAGTTCAGGCTGACCTTGAACTCACTATATAGTCGAGGCTGGTCTTGAACTCATGATGATCCTCCTGCTTCAGCCTCCCAAGTGCTGGGATTACAAAGTGAGAGCCACCACACTCATGTTACAATTGATTTTTGTATACTGCTTTTGCATTCTGCCACATTGATGAATCATTTATTACTTTTAATTATTATTATTATTTTTTTTTTTTTTTGGTACCAGGATCGAACTCAGGCCCTTGTGCTTGTGAGGCAGGCAGTGGAACCACTAAGCCAAATCCCTGGCCATACTTTTAATTTTTTAGTTGATTCCTTTGAATCTTCTATGTATGAGAGCATCTCATCTGCAAATATAGGTGTTTTTACTTCTTCCTTTCTAATGTAGATGTTCTTCATCTTTCTTGCCTAACTGCCTTGACTAAGATGTCAGTACAATGCTGAAAAGAAGTTACAGACAAGAGTAAACATTTTACCTTGTTTCTCAGCTTGAGAAGAAAGCACATTCAGTCTTTAACCCATTGATGTATCTTTGAATTTCTCAGACATCTTTTATCGGGGTGAAGAAATTCTCTTCTACTCTTCATTTGTGACAGTTTTTATCATGAAAGGGTGTTATGTTTTGTCAACTGATTTTTCTACATAGAGATGATCATGCTTGGCCTTTATTCTATTAATATGGTATACTACATTGCTTTTATATTAAAGCAACCTTTCATTCCTAGGATAAATCCCTCTTATTCATGTTTTTTTTCCACTACCAGGGTTCAAACTCAGGACCTTGCATTTGCCAGGCAGGCACTGAGCTACATCCCTGGCCCCAGTTTCTTGGTATTTTGCTGAAGATTTATGCCTGTGATTCCTAAGAGATACTGATCTATGTAGCAGGCACATTTAACCCACAGCCTACTGGACCCAGGCCAGCTAGTAATGCAGCCCCACAACATCATAAACTTTTAGCATTATCATGTGATTTTTAGCTGTGTCTGAGCACAGACTTCATAGACAATGGAATGCTGGGTAGGGGAGGGTGCAGTGCAGTGCTAACTATGTCTTTGAACCCACTACATGTCTGTTGACTCCAGTATGTCAGATGTTACATGTGTTTGTGTGACTTGGTCAGTTAAACACAGCAATTACTGATAATGGTATTTAAACATACCTACATGCATTTGCCTGTGAAAATAGGCATTTGTTAGTATTCAGTAAATGTGTAAGTTTTCATATTTAATTATTAAATAAGAATTGGGGCTGAGGAAGGAATATCATAAGTTCAATCCCAACATGGGCAACTGTCTTAAAAAATAAAAATAGGCTGGGGTTGAACCTCAGTGTAAAGGTACTGGATACCATCCCTAGTACCA